CAATAGCAGGAATGTTGGGAGTTCATAATAAAGGCTAAATAAGAGCGTTATTTATGTTCTGAACCTAACTAGTTCCAAAGAGCAGCAAAATAGGCTAATAGCAACTTTAACTTAGTGTTGTTATAAACAGCTCGATTTTTAAAAACTGCTAACTTAAAATTTTATGGCCAAAAAAATTATTAGGCAAGTCTGGAGATTTTGCACAAAAGTTTGGGCATTTATTAACGAAATCTAATACCACCAACAAAGATATATTTTCTAATAAATCCTCATGCCGCATATTTTCGATAATTTTTCTTACATAAAAAGATTTTCTGATCGCCGCTCTAAAACTTGGGGATGTATATAAATAATTTTATTTATCAAAAATTGCGATAAAATAATATTTTTCATTTTTTAGTCATTTATTTTATATATCAATAATTCTTTTTTTTTATACATGTTTGAATTTTAAAAATGTTCCTGAAAATCATTTTGCCCTTTGGCTGGTCTAATTTTATGGACTTAAATTATATAACGTAAAAATAATATTTAAATTTTTTTTAAAAAAATATTTAAGTGGATGATAAACGCGCTACGCTGCCGTGTAGCGTTAGTTGTAGCGCGTTAAATTAACGGTTAACGGCTCTAATTCCCAATAATTTCCTTCCGATTTGATTTGATCGACAACCATTTTATTTTTTAAAACATTTTATTATTTGCCACGCACACAAATCATACAAACATCGCACGGGGAAAAAAAATAAACATTTTAAAGAAAAAAAAAGTAACTGGAGGAAGGTCGCCCTCGTATAATATTTAATTACTAATTAATCTTATTATATAATAATAATATTTGCGTTCGAAAATATGTTCGAAATGTGTGATTTCTTACCATAAATATTTTAAAATTTAATAAATACGGAATTGTAAAGGGGGGGGGATAGCAGGAAAACGGAAATTGAGTTATATTCACACTCTTTTTAACATTACCTATGATTCGCCTTGGGTATACAAGTAAACCTTGCTAAGATGTATGAATTGTTTTGAAATTTTTTTGATTTACCTTCATTTGAGCAGAACACCAATGATGCTATGATTGGTTAGATTTTTAAATAGTTACAAACTAATATATATGTTGACCATCAGGCTACCCTCGCAGATATCAATGACGCTATTATATTGTAACCCCCCCCCCTGTTAGAGGTCCCTGTCACGAATTCTTCTGGAACAAAGGAATGAAAGCAGGGGGGAGTAATATAATTAAAATTAAATAAATTAACTACATTAATTTTGCACGTATACACAATATGTTTATTTTAACAAAATGAATATTATTCCCCATTCCTCAGCCATCATTCATATCTTCTCATACTCAATCTCAAATACCCTTCAAAATAAAAACACTATTTTTTTTAAAAAAAATGGAATTTTTTTATAAACATATTAAATTAAATATATTATATTAATTTAATTACAAATTTATATAGCCTTGATCAAAATAAAAAAAAATTTATATAAAAAAGTGGGGTGGAGTGGAGGGTTGTTTGAAGATAATCTTTTTAAATAAAAAAAATTTAAATATGAAAGTGTATTTTCGATTTTCAATCTCGAAAAAAAATGTTTATTTTGATTTATAAATTTTTTGATCTCATACTTTTTCAAAAACCCCCAACCCGATTGTTAATATAATGACTTAACCCATTAAGGGCCGGGAATATAGGCGGCAGAGGCCTTCTTGTTTCTTGGGCCTTAATTTTTTGACCAAGCCCGACCCAGGCCCGCAATAGAACATATTTATAGGCCCGGCTCGCCTCATATCTAATATTTAAAAAAAAATTCCCAAGCCCATAGTAAGTTTCAAAAAAAATTTCCCAAGCATGGCCCAAACCCATATCCAAAAATTGAATTTAAATAAAAATAAATATTATTATAGAAGAAAAAATGGCAATATTTCTTTAAGTTAGCAACTATTTCATATAAGCTAAATTTAAATTTAATAATTTTAGGCCCAGCCTAAGTCCATTAAAAAAATTCATTAACTCAGGCCCACTGAAAATATGATATTAGGCCCACCCGGCCCATCAAGGTCTCTGATAGACTGGCCTCAATATAATAATTTAAGAGTCAATTTCTACTCATTAGCATCTCTCTAGGCCATATTTATCAAAAAAATAAAATAAAAAATAACCCTTACCAAGGCAACATCTGTTCAATAATGTTAAACTTTTTAGGATTAATATTTGCACAAAAGAAGCAGTAACCCGCCTTTAATCTCATTCCAAAGATGGTTCACGAACTGTATTATCTTGTTCTATGTTAGGGGAGGGGTGGGGTGAGAGAGGGATATATCAAAGACCTGCAGCGGTATCATTTACACGGCCCAACCCGGATTTTTTTAAAATTTATTTTTTAATTTTTATAGCTAATAATGGCGATTTAAAATATACGGCCCGACCCGGGTATTTAAAAAAAAATAATTTCTTTACGTTTTCGTTTGGAGCATTTAGCAATACCATAATTCTATTGTACATTATTTCTCATTTACGCTTTATTCTCTTAGTAAACTTAGATCTTGATAATGGAACTGTATTCAAGCGCCTCGATTATGAGATCGCGAGGTTTACTTCTAGGCGTGACTTTATATCTTGAAAGATAATCATAAATTCAAAAATATATAAAAATTTCTAACATCCAAACATTTTTCCAAGTACATTATTTTGCTTGATTATTAATTAGCTATTGTTGGAAGTATGAGAAGTACTTTTGATTCTGTAATGCATCCCTGGAATTTAGGGCTGCATAGATTTTTACTTCTTTTGATTATCGTTGCTAAAGGGTATACTTTGAGTTCAAAAAGATCTAGAGGGGGGGTATAATTTTATTGAATCTAAAAGGATATTTTTCTGATCTTTCAGACGATTTTTTAAAAATGGCTAACTCAATGTTTTCTCCCGAAAAACATTGCGCCAGCCTGAAGATTTTGGTCATAGATGGCACAAAGGGAGGCTTGTGCAATATTTTCTGGCTCAAATATTGAGTTAGTCGTTTTTAAAAAGCGAGTCCGTTTTAACAACACGAATTAGTTGCATGCATATGGATTTTTTAAAATCTGAGCTGAATGGGACCGAGTTGGTTCGATTTTCAAATCGATCTACATGAAGTCGGCAACTCGTGATACGGTTTAGCCGTCACTATCCGCAATATTTAGCCGGTTTTATTAAATATGTGATATATTTTGCATCTTTCTTTCTTTCTTTAAAAAAATTTTTTTAAAAATAAATAAATATTGGGATCAAAATGTTAATTGCCTTTTATTTAAATTGCCTCTTATATATATATTCTTTTTGTTAATTATGTAAATTTTAAGAGGTACAAAAAAAATATTTTTTTATTATCTGTAATTATTTTGTCGCGAAAAAAAAAACACCAAAATTGGTTCACATTGGATCAAAATAAATGTTTTTTTTAAGTTGTATTTTTTATATTTTTGAAAGATAAAAATTTTTTTTTAAAAATTTATAGAAAAGATTACCTAAATTTAAGGAATCAACAAAATTCAAGATAAAATAGAGAGTATTTGGAGAGGTGTTGGTGGTATTGTTGTTACCCTCCTTTCACAGTTAGCGGAAAAATTCGTGGTAACTGTCATGCAGGGTGACCCCTCATTCACAGTTGGCGCAAATTCGTGTTTGAGAATACAGAAATACAGATTTTGTATAATTCGCCGCGTATTCACGCTAACTATTAATGAGGAATTAAGCGGCACAATTTTTGAAAACGGATAGCCCAAAATTTTAGCAATAAAATATTGCGTAAAGCCTGGAGATTGCTCGTAGTAGACGTAAAGGTTTGGACATCTATTAACGCAATATCAAGACTCGCGTAATATTATTTTGGCTAAAATCTCGAAAATCTAGTCTTTTAACGGCACTAGTTGACGGTTAGCATATTAAAAATCGCCCAAGGTTTAACTTTATTGGATTTGGGGATTTTGCAGGATTTATCACAGCTGATGAATTTGTGAAATTTTTTATTGGGATCAATTTTTTTTATTAATAAATTATCGTATTTGGGAAGGGAAAAATAAAATGTATTTACGATGGGCGCTATTTATAACAGCTAATCGATATGGCATCTTTTAATGGGATAAATTTTTGTTGACAATTTAAAGAATATATAAATAAATAATGATCTCTGGAGCTGGACGTGATGCCACGCGATTTTAACAATCGATTGATTTTTATAGAATATATTATTCGTGAATATTAATAATTCTTAGATTTTTATATCAAGATTATGATTAAAAATTATAATATATTAAAAAAGAAAAAGAAAAATTTATTTCATTTAAAAGATTTAATTATAAAATCAATCAGCTGTTAAATCGCTTGAAAAAAAAATAGGCCCACGTCTCCAGGCTCAAAGGGTTTGCTTCGGGGCGGGATGATTTTCTAATACCATTTAGGATTTTTTTTCTAAATTGATGCTCGGACTTTGAGATTTCCGCTCATTATTAGCGAAAATTCACGAATGAGAGGTGCAAAAGTTTTACTGGTATATATCATTTTTCTTAGAATAAGTTTTTGATCCCCCTTTGCCCGACACTCGTCAGCCGAGGATCTTATTAATTACTCATTTTAGTGTGAGAGAAGAAGGGGATTCGTAGGTTTAAATCGATTTCCTTTAGCTTCGTAAAATAGATAATAAAAATCATGTCACATCTCAATGGGGTGATTTTATGATGTAATACGGAATATGACTTTTGGATCTAAGGTGCTTAATTATTTTTATAAATAATTATGGTATATGCCTATTTTGGGTGGGGGATTTTTCTCATACATTTTTTTTCTGATTCATAATTTGGTTCATATATTTTTTTAGAGGTATTTAAAGGTATTCTTTATTTTGTATCGTTTAATTTATTTTATTTATAAAATAGTATCTTAAAAGGTTTTTTTTAGATTTACGATCCTTATGGTCATATTATATCGCTACGTTTAATTTATTTTTAAAATCAGATGGTATTTCGGTAAAATTCGGAGGATAGATGCCGAAAAAAAGCTTTTGTCACCCGAAAATGAACACGGCTCTTTCCTGATACGGGACAGTGAAAGTCGGAGGAATGACTTTTCCTTATCTGGTTAGAAATTTCATATATCATTACTTATATATCCAACTTATAATTTTTTTTTCAATGACTTTATAAACTTAGAAGAAGTTAACTAGACTGCCGCTTTGAATAAAGAAATAGAATGTGTACACTTAATTTTGATATTGAAAATTTATAATTTAATCTTTAAATGAATGACAATCATTAAACTTATATTTTTTATACCTTTGACTTTCGATATCTCTAAAAAAAAATATAAGAGGTAGGATGCTAGAATTTTTAAAACTACTTTTAATCACGTGTACCTTAGTTTGTATATGCAAAATCTCACCAAAATTCTCAAGGTGACCTGAGAATCGTGATCGATTAGACCCGGAATGACTCTTAAACAGGTTGCGCCCAACACTTCTCCACCCGTCGGTAAACATGTTACCTATAAGAATCATCAGATTTTCTACTTTAATATTGTGCGCACCAGCACTAATAAATTACAGGATCTATTGTTAAAAATAGGAATGTGCCTCCAATATTAAAGACCTATTTATAAATGTGTATGTTTTAGAATTGGCAGCTAATATTTTATGCATGAACATCTTGGAATATCGATATATAACATAAAACTTGTAAAATTATTATAAGGGAGGCGTCAGAATTCTCCGATCAGAAATTTGATCTGGAACGGATCGGCAAAAATAGAGAGCCGAGCTACAAAAATGGGCTAATTTCATTTGCATATGCTTTTCTTTAAAATATTTTAAAATTTTATTAACATTCCAAGATGGTTTATGCATTAAAAATTTACTGCTTATCTTGTGGCAATTCAAATATACGCACATTTTTTAACCATATCATTTTAATATCGGTAAAGCTTTAGTTATTGGTATTAGTTATCTTATTCATTATGATAACACGTATCTCGTTACGTATAATCAATTTTATTTTTTAATTCTTGAAATTGTTAAACAGTGAGAGACGCTGACACCGTAAAACATTACAGAATACGTCAATTGGACGAGGGAGGCTTTTTCATAGCTAGGCGCATCACCTTCCGCGACCTTCAATCCTTAGTTTCCCATTACGCCAGAGACCCCGACGGATTATGTATCTCGTTGAGAAAGCCATGCATTCAGGTTTAGCCCGAAAAACAAAAAATGCTAATTATAAATTCGCTACTGAGTTTTTCTATAAAATATAATTTATTTTGCGGCCGTAAAAATTCCGCAGTGTTGAATCTCATTAACTTACGCCTCTTGACTCTTATAGTGCGCACAAATTGAGCGTTTGTGTTTTGCCGTGTTTTTTTAATAAAAAAATGTATCGCAAATTGAGGTTGCCTTTTTTTATTTACATTAGTATATATAGTCTATGCAAAATTTTAACCAAGTTATTAAAAGAAGAATTGGTTTTTGTAAATTATATTATCGTCTGCAATTTTATTTTATTAATTTCTAAATATTCCATTTTAAAAGATGAATTCTTTTTTTAAAAAACATTTTATATTAATATCAAATTTTATTTACATATGATTAAACAACTAAGTCGGGATTTTTTAATGGCATCCCTTTTATTATTCATATCTGGGTGACAAAGTTTTGTCGGCAATCTTGCGGAAAAACCTGGGTTCTTAAAGAACTAGTCTTAGATAGCAAAATGAATGAATAAAGAAGCATTGAAAAAAAGGCTACCCAGTTAAAATTGATCAATTTGCACGATACCATTTGAAACGCTATTTCCGTTTGCAACGCTCAAATTGTGCGCACTATTAAGAACCAATAAAAACCACCTAGCCTTGCGGTGTCTCCCCTTTCATAGATTTGTTTACAATTTATATCATTGCCATAACCCCCTAACTAAGTTTTAAAAGCCCTCTTAATGGAAAAACAACTTCTTTTTTCGTTTGGGCAACAAATTTTTATTAAAATGACGGATGGTTTGTTGTGTTACCTGTTTTCATTTATATATAACCCTATCTCATATCAGGCCTGGCTGAAATATTAGTTTTTATTCGCCCACGTCTTTTATAACACGTTTTACTTAACTGTCATGCTTCTTGCTTTGTATAATTAATTCCAGAAAATCATTTATTCCTAGTTATACATGTTTTTTTTAACAGGTCGATAAACCCGGAACCATAGGCCTGTCCCACAACACTGTGGACCAATGGGAAATAGATAGGACCTCCCTCAAATTTATTCGTAAGAGAGGTCAGGGTCAATTTGGAGAGGTCTGGGAAGGATTGTGGAATAACACTACGCCCGTCGCCATCAAAACACTCAAACCCGGTAAGTAACCAAGTTTACATCGGGAATTATAATATTTTTTAAAAAAATATACATATGACTAAAGGCTATAAATAGGATACATTTTGTCCCAGTCCATCGAAATATGCCTTTTCTTTCAGAGATAATAAATATTAGAGATCTGCAAAAAATTGGCCCGACCCGTACCTGGCCCGGCCGGGCCTGGACCTATTTCTTAAAAAAATTTAGGGCTGAGCCGGGCCTATTATTTTTAGAAAAATTCGGACTGGATCGGGTCTTGGAAAATTTTTTAAAAAATATCTAAATTTATCAATTTTATGTTGAATCATATAATATCAAAAAAGCCGCCTATATATTTTATGTAAAATAAAAATATTTAATTTTATTTTTACTTTTATTTTTGGGTATGATAATTTTAAAAAAAAACTTACCATTGTTCCCGATTCACAACACCTTTTTTTTCTTAGAAAAGGGTGGACTGGACAAATCCCTATTTGCTGATCCAACGAGGAATTTTTTATTAGAAATGAGAATGCCCATTCCCCCCCCCATCTAATTTTTGATATTCTCAAATTACAATTTCTTTAAGACTATGTCCAAAAAAAAATTCCACAAGTTTACAAACTTTCGCAAATTTTAAAATTTTAATGAAATCGAATATATTATAATAGTTTTATTTATTTTTTTTATTAAAGTTTCGAAAGTTTTCTGAATTCATTTTTTAATATTTTGGACACGGCATAAAGAATAATCATGATTTAACGATTTTTTAACAATAAAATAAAATAAATGACTTATTTTTAGGCACAATGGATCCCAAGGATTTTTTGAGCGAGGCCGCTATCATGAAAAAATTGCAGAACTTTAAACTCATTCAACTATACGCTGTTTGCACCTTGGTGGAACCAATTTACATCGTCACCGAACTCATGAAATACGGGAGTCTGTCGGAGTACCTAGTTACTCGTGAGTTATTGAATAAAATCCATTCCCTTATTTCTCATTATCTATATTTATCAGAGGCCTGCTAGCTGGGAATGGGCGAAAAAATTGTAGATTAAAAATTTTGGGCAGATTTTTTTTAAAAAAAATTGATTTAAATTATAGTACTGTTTAACATTTCTAATCTTATCACCTTCAAAAAAAAACGTTTACTTTTTCAAAACTTTATGAATAAATTTTGTTAAAGGACTCCATTTTGAACCCATTTTTAAAAGGGCTAACTTAGTATTTTATCCATAAAAATATCACACAAGCCTGAAGATTTTGCTCAGATTGTACCAATGTCTAGACATCTATTAGCAAAATCTCGAGGCTCTAAGCAATTATTTTTTGGCTTAAATATAGAGTTAGCCTTTTTTCAAAAGCGGATCAAAACGAGCCGTAATAAATTATTTTAAAAAATTTTTTTTTATTTAATACTTACTTTTAATATAAATAAAATACAGTAAAATATAGGTAATAAAATAAAAAATTTTAACTAATTTTTAATATATAAAAACTTTTATATATATCATAAAATTTAATTAATTATAAAATATATAAATTTATAATACTTTAAATTGTGTTCAACAATTAAAATATAAAAACCTTGATAAAAACTTAAAAATAATAGTCATTTAAATTTTTTAAATAATCAAACCAAAAATAAATGAATTCTAAAATGGATATTAACTATTTTATATTTACTTTTATTTATCTATTATAATAATCATAAGCCTATGAAATATAACAATCTAAAATAAATTATTAACGGATACTTATAGTTACTCTATAAAATAATAGTAAATTACGATCAAGTGTCTCTTTAATTTAGAATTTGAAGCACATTTTACATTTGCTTAGGATAGAATTAGTTCCTTGTAAATAGGATGTTACTGTAAATTATTTATTATATTGAGCCAATAGTAATATTAATTCATCTGATTCTGGTATTTCAGTCAGATGATGATAATGAAATATCCACATCCCATGCTTACGCTAATCCATAAAATATTATTATTCAAAATAACTAAACTATACTAAAGGGCAGAAATAAATAGTGGGCCCGGGTTAAAGAAATTCAAATGCGATAAATGAAACAAGCCAATTATAAAAAAATAACCCTTATTTTCTTCATAAAAAAAACTCGGATTAATATTTTTCTATTTTCAAATTAATAAAAATAAGAAGATTCTTAAATGCGAACGTGTTCTTCAAACAAAGGAACTCCGTTTATCTTTTAAAAATTTTATGAAACTATCCTCAATTGGTCACTGATATTAATTATTTATTATACTGTCTAAAGCTCAATCCTAGGGTCAATTTTTATCCACGGGGAACTTAGTTATTACTTAGGATCATCTATTTAGCTATTAATTTTTTTTATATCTCAAATCATATCTTACTTTCATTTTTTTTAAAGTATATTATTAATTTTTTCCCTCCTATATCATAACGCAATTAGCCCGAGGTCAAAGTCTCAAAATACCCCAGCTCATAGACATGGGCTCCCAAATAGCCTCCGGCATGGCTTACTTGGAATCCGAAAATTATATTCATCGGGACCTAGCGGCTAGAAATATTTTGGTCGGGGATAATAACCAGGTAAAGATTGCAGATTTTGGACTCGCTCGATTGATCAAAGTAAATATTTATTGGCTACCTTTTTATTGATAATATTCTCCTACAAAACAATGCGAAAATGATATTCTTTGAAAATGATATTATATTATTCATATAATAAAACAGGATATGTTAGAGTAGGTATATGAAAAATTATTCGATTCGATTTGAAATTTACAAATACGGATAATAATTTTAAAAAATTTGCCCGATAATACATTTAAAATTATTTTCAAATATTTTTTAAAAAAAAAATTCAATTTCTTACAAAAACGAATATTAAATAATTTATTAGATTCAAGACTAGACAGAATATTCATAATTTTGAATTCATTCAAATGTGTGGACTACATGGGATTCGGCTGTATACATCATCCTGTGGTCTGCACTCAGACTAAATGAGATTTACGCCTTCGGGTCATTTAATTTCCCTGCATACTGCAAAATGACCTCTACAGCTAATAACCATGTGTGTCTAGTTTTGTTAAATGAACTCAATGTTTTAGCCAGAAGGATATTGCCTAAGCCTCGAAATTTCGCTAATACATGTCCAAACCTTTGGGTCATCTATAAGCAAAATCTTTAGGTTTGCGTAATATTTTTCTGAATAAAACGTTGAGTTAGCCTTTTTTTAAATCGGCTCAAATCGAGCCGTTTAACAACACTACGTATATATCACAGTTTTAATGAATGAAAGGGCATTCTAGATCAGTTTGTATATAATATTCGGTGAGAACGAATATCTTTTGGTTCTCCTTTCGGGTATTGAAATCGTATTAGTACCAGGTCGGTTGGGTGTGCCCAAAACATATTTTATGGCCCCATTTTCTAAGTAATGGAAGCTTGATTAATATTTAAAGCTTTTAATTTTTGCTAACGTTAATCATGCAACTATCCTAAGTTGTTATTTGGACAGCTCCTCAAAAATAGATTCTAGCTAACGAAGGGTGGAAGTAAAAAAGAAAAAACTTTAATCATATGGTAAAATAATTGTATATATTTTTTTATTGAAAAAAGGAAAACGAATACGAAGCCAGAGTTGGTGCTAGATTCCCTATAAAATGGACCGCCCCGGAGGCGGCCAATTACAATAGATTCACGATAAAATCTGATGTTTGGTCTTTCGGTATTCTCGTCATGGAACTCGTTACCTACGGCAAAATTCCTTATTCCGGTTAATAATATTGATTTTGGGAAAGTTCCGGGGAGCCATTTTGTTTTGTTACTTTTTAGCCTTTTTTTTTGTTTTGAAAATAACTGGTAACCCACATGGAAGATAAAAATGTGGTATAAAATTATGGTGAAATTTGTTAAGATGAATTTAAATTTAAGATAACAAATATTAATTGATTACTTTATTAAATATTTAAGAGAAACATCTTGACATTCAAAATTATAAAAAAAAAATATAGATAAATAAAAATGTAATTTTTTTTATTAAATTAACGTTTTCGTATTAAATTTAGACAAATAAAATTTACCTAATCCTATTTAAAGACATATAATAATCGACCAAATTATCGAATGCAAATTATAAATTCAAACCTAAAAGACAGACGATTTTTATAAAAAATGAAACGAAAAAACATTCAATCTCAAACACTTTTAAAATTAAAATTAACAGACCCTGTTATTTCTGTTTCTTTAAACAATTTTATAAAGAAAATGTTTATTTTAATTCTGATTGCTTTCAAATTTTCTTACATAAAACGTGAGAAGTCGGGATGCTTTATGAAAACTCATTTTTTAAAAAAAAACTTACTCTTTAAAACATATTGCGCAAAGTAGCCTTTCTTTCTTTCAGGATTGGACTTGTATTAACAAAATCTCAAGTCTTGCCTAAGATTTATGTTGGCTAAAATTTTATTTTAAAATCGGGAAAATTGGGCCCTTTTATCACCACTATTTGGCTCATTTATCTGAGAAAATTTAAATAAAATATTTCACAAAAATTAAGGTATGAGTAACGCCGAAGTTCTTCACCAAGTCGAGCACGGTTACCGCATGCCATGCCCTCCTAACTGCCCCGCTCTCTTATACGACACCATGCTTGATTGCTGGAAGAAGAACGAACAAGACCGCCCCACTTTCGAGACCCTGCACTGGAAACTAGAAAATTTCTACAACATGGAAGATACCGAATACAAAGAGGCGTCTATCGCCAATTAAAATTTGGGATTTTTTTTCCTTCTTTTTTCTCTTCAAATATTAGATATTTTTTGTCGCGGGCGCATAGAAAGTGGAGACTTTATACAATTCGATTATATTGTTGTTTTTTCCTTCTCCTTTCAAAATAATAAGGGGGGGGGGGGGGTGAAGGCAAATATTTTGTGATACGGAAAGAAATGCTAAAAATTATGCCAGGATGGAAGGACCCTATCATAGCCAATCTAATGAATAAAAATGATTGACGCTGGAGTTTGTTTTTTTTTTCAAAACGAATATATTAAGTATTTTATATGGCGTGTTTCAAAGCGTATATATAATTATTAATTTCGCATTCGGTGGTTTTTTTTATTGTTAACAGAATCGTTATTGAAGCATTTAATATAATTCTAGCATTGTTAGTTCCCTCTGTTGAAATATCTTGCCATAAATAAGTGAAGAATTTATCATACTTTATTTTCTCTTGATTAAAAAAAATAATAAGATTATAATATATATATTAATAAATCAAAATGTAAATTATTTGAAAATAAACCATTTTTCGATGTAGTGTAAATTTATTCTGTAAATAGCTTATTTTTTTTTAAATCTTTTTTATAAAAAAAAATTAGTTTTTTTATATAAAAAATATTACAAATATTTTATATTATATTATTATTTTTTTCAATGAATCTCCCCCCATCCTTCTCCTTATCAAAAAATAATATTCTAAATAAATATATTTTTAATTCGAAATTATTTAAGGCTGCGTTTCAATAATGTATTAGTCGAACAAATATTAACTACTTCGAAATGTCTCTAAAAACATAGCAGAAAAAGGTTAGCCCTCTTTTGGCTATTTCGAAGCCTAGGTAATATTTGTTTTGGTAAAATCGTTTTTTTTGACTTTTTTGTTTATATTTAGCCAATTTTTTATTACTAAAAAAAAAGTTATATATATAACAATTTCTTTCTCTTTTACAAGTATTTGTCCTACGTAAGTTTATTTTCTTCTCCCCCCCCCCTTTCTCCTACCACGGAGAAAATATTATTTGTATTTGTGAAGATAAATGTGTAATTTATTTTGCGGCCATATTGATACTCCATTTTTCTTGATTTTGGTACGAGCAATCGTCCATTGTATTATATATATTTTTTATAATTATTTTAATATAATAATTCATTAGATGTATATATCTCCGATTTATCTAGTTATGATAAATCACGCCACTTCCAGATCGATATACTTTTATCCTTTTTTTTCCTTCTCGTTTTACTGCATTTAGAAATATAATAAAAATAACCCAAGCCATTTTTTTTATACCCATTTCATTTAAATATTTTATATAATTTTTTATAGGGTTTGCAATTCACCTATCCTTTTTTAATTTTATTTTTTTTACAAAACAAAATAATCAAAAAATATTAATAATTCTTTCTGAAAAGGAAATGGGAAAATGTTTAATCAATAATTTACTCGCCAAATTTTTACGTTTATATGTTTTTTTTCTTTAATAACTGGGGTAAGCGAGTCGCGTCTGTGTCATTCATTTTTTTTTATCACAAACGCTGCCTTACCAATAAATGTGTATTTATGCTTTGATGAACACTAATCATGTTTTATATAATATATTTATTTTTAACAAATTTTTTTTAAAAAAATATAAATAGATATTATATTTCAAATTATACAACCCCATACATAATTATTCTTAAATTATGATAATAAAAATTATTAAAATGATATATACGGTTAATTAATTAGTAAAATTTTATTTGCCATCCACGATGGAGCCCTGCAAATTTAAAACCTCGTGAAAAATCGGTCCAGACTTGGATAAAATTCGGGCAGGGTTTAAAAAATATAACTGAGCCTAGCTTTGGCAGGAAAAATTAAATTTGCAAAGCTCTAATCTATGATGTGATTAGGCTTTAGAACTGTTTCGTAACTGTTTAGAAAATAGTAATTTTGAATCTTATTTCTGTTTAGCCTAGGCTATTCAACCATGACACCCTATTCTGGTTTGTTTTAAGTGTACATTAAATAATTACTCGCTATTTATAGAATTTTTTTGGTACAAATGGAACAAAGATGTGGTAAATCATAATGGCCTCGCCTCTTTCTTTTTTTGTTTAGGGAAGCTATGATGGCTAAACAGAAAACTGTTTAAAAATAATTCGAGACTGCCAGGGGTATAACAGATACCTAGCTGTGTACTAAATTAAATTAAGAATTTTGAATCAGAAGCTTTAATTAGTTTTTATTTTTTAATAATTATTTTTTATTTATTTCAAAATATCTTTTTTCATTTAAATATTGCACAAATAAAATGATTAAAAAAATTTAGCTTTTCAATAGTAATAAATTTCCAGAGACACTTCCGAAAAATAGAACCTTTATTTTAATCTGAGAATATAAATAAATTGGAATTTGGATATTTTTTTATGCATAAAAATCACGGATAATTAACTATAAAAGATTTTAGAACTGGGAAAAATTGATCAAAAATGATGCACGCCTAAGCATTCCTAAGAAAATCATATTTTTGATTATGGGTAGTTTGCAAAAAAGCTGATGAAAATCATATTTTTGATTATGGGTAGTTTGCAAAAAAACTGATAAAAACCAAGATCACTAGGTTCCGGCCAAATTTTTCAAGACCTGCCTGGAATTTTTATAAAAAAATTTGCCCAGCCCGATCCATAACAAAATTTTTTTTTATATATGTCCCGAAAAGCTTGAAAATGTGTAAAAATTTAATATCAAATAAAAAAAAATAGTAGCACCTTATTTCTTGCAAGAATTTTAAAATATAGCAATTTATTTGACAAAATGTAAATAAATTTCGGGTTAAAAAATAAAACCGGAACGCAGCCCGAAATTTTTTAAAAAATATGGGCCATGTTATGCAGATCTCTAATATGCAGTTAAAGCATTAATAATTCTAAATTAGTTTTTTTTTTGGTAATATCTATTTATTTATATTTTTAAATTTAGTTAAAACCTAATTAAAAATAAAATTCTATAATTAAGTCCCCAAAAAGGAACCATAATTGTGTCTAAAAATTTCTATTTGAATTTTTTGTCGAATAAAAAGAAATTCTCTGGGTTCATTTGTGAAAAGTCGTATTTTATTATCCAGATTTTTTAAAAACATAAAAGTTGAAGGCGAAAAATGCCCGTTAGTAGAAGTCACTACTGGAGTGAATATGAAGTTTCTAAAATTTTTGTATTTGTTTGCCTTTTTAATTTCTGCCTGTGTTGTGTTATTAAATTGAAATTTATGTTTGAAGGGAATGATGAGACACACGCGTTGATTTGGTGTAAAAATAAAAATATTAGCGCCTCTTGCAAGAATTTTAAAATATATCAATATAATTAGCAAAATGTAAAATGATATAAATATTTAAAAATTTGCCAGACCCGGAATTATTTAAAAATATTAGGCCGGACCCGAAACCCGTTCGAGCCGTGGTATCCAGATTTCTATTCCTTTGATAATTCTAAATTAATTATTTGGTGAGGGGCCGTTTTAGGGCCGAGTAAAAATTGCCTACACAATTCAGTAAAGAATGTGTGGCGGGGTATTGGTAGTAGTTTTCAACTAGCAATAACCGCACCTCGGTAAAACATCATCGGTTACGGTATCGCCACTGCGCAAAGTTAATCTATACAACATCTTTAATTTTAATATATGAACAAATATTTAAACTTCGAATATAGTGTCTAACAGAAATTAATGGTGAATACCTATATTTTATTGTCTAATTATCGTATTTATTTGCTTGGTAATATATTAACCATACAAATTCATTCCATATTTAGTATACATGATATCTAATTTGATAAAGATTATATAATATATCTAAATAAATGCCTTAAATTATTTAACGCCATCTATCATCTATATATTTATTTTTTAAATAAAATAAATAATAATATTTATTTTATTTTTTTTATTAAAAAAAACAAATTTATGTAAATATAATTTTAAAACTGCACGTTTTGCAAAAATTGATTTAGTACGTCGTATATTTTTGATGAATTTTGTAGTAATAAAAATTTTTACTCTCTTTAAAATAGTATTTCTAATTTTATTTTTTGAAAAAAAGATTGCTCCGATTTCAAAACGAATGAATGCTTTTACGCTACATTTTATGAATATATATTTAAAAAATTAGATTTTTAATGAATGTTTTATAATAAATTTGGTACCTGCTAATAAATATTTAATATTTTTATCAATAAATAATTAACATAAAATTTAATTCGATTTTGAGACATAAAAAAAATAACACTCTAAATTCAGGGTTGTCATAGAGGTGCATTTAATATTATTTTTTTAAATGGATAACGAAAGAAACCAAAACTAGTTTGCATATTTTCGTTCGATAAACGAATTTTATTAATTTTTAAAATTGCATTTTTTTTTATATACCAACTAGGTTTATATTTACACAAAAAAAAGCATTAGTATTAAAAATTTCAAACGACATTATTATCCTTCTATTGGTTTAATCTAGATTTCGTATATTGACTACTGAGCCAAATTTACTATTTGTTTATTTCGGAGATCTAAGCCCGATCATTTCGGAATATCAAACGGTTGTGGTTAGAACTGATTTAAGAAAAAAAAAAAAATTTGTACATTATATTTTTATAAACAATTTTTTCACCTTTAGTTCTTTATGAATAATTATTTACCAGAAAAGATAAAGATTTTTTAAAAAAATCGATTTTCAAGCAAGATGAATACAATCAATCAAGTGTATTGGTGGCTGATTAAATATCAAAGAAAATATTTTTAATCTGATCTTAATAAAACTAATCTTATTATTATATAATATAATATAATTATTGTTAAGTGTTGTGTTAACATAGGTGTATCCAATATTCTAATAAGAAGACTTTTGGGTGGCTTCCCCCCTCATATTAATTTTACTATATTTTTTTAAACCGCTTTTTTAAAATAAAAAATATGATACCTGTTTCATCTCTAGTTTTTTCATATAGACTATTTAAGCAAAAAATATTTTTTAAGGGAAAAAAAGTATAAGCTATATTTTTATTTTAAATTTTAAGATTTTATCATTAGAATTTAAAGATATATAATTCGGACTTGCAATTTATTCATAGGGGAAGAAAATTTAGGCATAATTGGAGTGGCTATTTAAGTAGCGACGTTACATTTGGAGCTACTTTTTAAAAGTAGCTATCTTTCTAAATTATATATTGCAACTTACACATTTCTCATTGCACATAATAAACGTGTTGTCTTAAAGGCTGCTTCTTTATCGGATTCCTAATTTGGTTGCATGAAGTCGGAGTCAATTTTTCTACTAAAAACTCGGCTGTAATTGTTTAACAACACTATCATTGAACGAGATTTAATCGAATCATAAAAAATTTAATAAATTCTAAAATATCAATCTTACCCCAAATTCCGATGGAATAATCAGTTAACATCGTGTATAAGGAGAATAAGTCTCTTTCATAATGTGAAACATTTTTCTTTTCAATTTAAAAAAAATAATTAAGTCACAATGAACACGATAGACAATATTAAAATGATCTCATTTTAAAAAAAATAATAATAATAATTTAACAATCAATAGTTGGATAAGAAAAAAAAAATCTAAGAAATATGTTTAAAAATAACTGATATGTATTAACGTCATCTATAATATGAACATAAAGTCTAATGGGATTAAGAAATAGAAACGAACCTTAATTCACGTTAATTTTCCACAAGTTTTGTTGTAGAGAGGTGTCCGATCTTCTATATTTGCATATTATTTTTAATTTAAAAATTCTTCTTTGAACCATACTAGGAGAGTATCTGCCTACACTGTCTAACCAGTTGAGTTAATAAAAAAAAAATTTATCTTTGAAATCTTATATTTTAACAAGCAATAAATGTAATTTATCATAAGCGTAGAGCAGAATATAGCAGGGATCCAAACCGAACCTGAACCGAACCCTTAAACCGATAAAAACCGGTATTTTTTATCGAACCGAACCTAAACCTCTAAAAAAATTCTAGCCGAACCTGAACCGAACCGCTAAAATGCCTTTGAACCGGTTCAAGTTCATAATTTTATGCTTATAAAATAATGTGTAAGTTATTACTAATATATTGCAAAAATTTTAATTATATTAGAATTGTTTTAAAGATTATTATCAATCACATTTAATTGATAAGTGTCAGTCATAATTTTTATAAACTTTAGTATAGTACCATTTTGCAACATTTATTAAATTTTAAGCTTATAAATTATGATGCCTAGAGCAAAATTAAATCCATATTATTAATAATGATACATCAAATCTGATACTACATAAGTAAGTGTGGGAAGATGCTTTTCAAGAATTAAATTTATATTATCTCCTTATAGACGTAATTTGAGTGAGACGAATTTTGAAAATATATATATTGTGCGGCTTAATAAAACATTTTAAATAATTGTTCATATTAAAATTAATCAATGATATTTATTTTTAAAATTTATAAATTAAACATTATTTTATAATGTGCAATTAATAAAAATGAAGGTTTTATGTATGTGCTTTTTATTTTAATTATGAAATAAATAAAAAATTCTTCTCTATACATAATTCAGATGTAGGTGTGAATACAAAAGTGTTCAAACCGGTTTTTAGAGGTTAGAACCGAACCGATATTTTTATTTTTTCTAACCGAACCTTAACCTTTATTTTTATCCGAATCTGAACCGATATTCGTTTCGGTTTGGATCCCTGGAATATAGTCTTAAACGATAATATGAGATGATAGTTAACAAATCATCTTTAGTTATACACTAATGGTCGGCGCAGCCTATGGGCGTAAAGTATTTTTACGGGCCGAAATTTTAAAAACCTTTTATAAAGTTGATGACTAGATAAATTTTATCTTATCACCCTTCATAAAAGTTGATTAAGGACCTGAAAACTTGTTCAAAGCATAATTTACTAGAGGGTTAAAAATAATTACGGCCCAAGGCCAAACAAAACAGATAAAAAATATTTATAAATACACCATTATCAATTCTTCTAGTTTTCCGTTAGAATATTTACTTATATAATTTTATCATTGTTTATTCCGTGCTATTATTGGTAAAATTTATTAGTTGTTTTAAAAAATACTTAGGCGTAAGCATTGAATGGTAGTTATACTGGGCCATATCATTAACAACATTTTAAATTTAAAATTGTTATTACAAATTAAAACCTTTTAAATATTTTGACCTGGTTTATTTTTTATAATAGCCTTCTAATTTATTATCTGTAAAGTTTAAATTTTGTCTTTTAGGGATTATTTTAATTTTAAGGTATTAAAACTAATTTCTATTTTTCTATTTTTCCATTTTCAAGTATCATTTTATATATATTTAAGGTTTAAAATTATATTTTATAAATTTGAAATACTTTATAACAGGAATGTGAACTCCTCGACAAAATTAAGGGTCCGGGTACAGAAATTGAATTTTAAAAAACGGTTCGAGTCCAGGGTCTGCAGAATATTGACTTAGAATAACAAATATTTTATACTCCATTTAGATACACATACATGATTTTATACTATAAAAGTTATATTTCATAGCCTATAATATTATTTATAATAAAATATTATTACCTAAACTACAAAAGCATAGGCGTATTTAGGATTTTGTTAAAAGGGGAGGTGAGACTTTATTAGGTGGGGGTGTTTTCCATAAATTTTATTTGAGGTCCTTAGGTCCATTTATTGCAAACCTTTGGATATATTATTTACGCGCCTGTTACAAAATTCTCAATATTTTACTCTTTAAAATTGAGATAATACAAGAGATAAGCAACGTGTCCTTATTGTATAGTATATTAATAAATTTATTAAAATATTATTACCTATACTAAAAAATTGACAATATTTAACTTTCGAAATAAAACAAGATATTATCTATAAAATGGAAGTATAAAAGCCAGAAAATGGGAAGAGAAAAAAATATGGTTATACGAAAAAAAATTTCAAAAGTAATTTTCATGAATTGAAAGAAATTTTTACCTAGAATCCTCCACTTTTAAAGGAAGGCAGGGTTTAGAATCAGCCAAAATATCAGGGTTAAGGGTCCAGGATAACATCCCTACCTTAGACGCAATGCAGACCCAATTATTCCATTCATAAGTTCGAATATGATGAAGCAAAAAATTTTAATGAGCATTATACGTAAATACTCTAAATTATTTCGGAGTAATAAATGTTAATAGTCGTATAATACATATATTTAATATTTATTTTGGATTTAAAAAATTTAATATTAGACAAATCGAATGCTATAAATCTAATGAATGATATCATAGCTTAAATGAGAAATCTATAATTTTTTTAGGTGTAAATTTTTTTTTATTTATAGTCCAACTCTAAATTTTAGAGGTGCATAAAATTTTAAAGGCTTTCACAGTGACTTTCCCAAAATTTATTTTTCTCACACTTGAAGGCGACCGACGAAAAAAACGTATTATCATACTAAATCACAATTGAATGAAGTTTTGGGTTTATTAAAATATACTTTTAATTATTAATGGCATTAGATCATGTAAAGGTTAAAAGATATTTTAAAAAAATCTATTATTATCTTAAATATTTTAAAACATCAAAAATAATTACATATTAAAATATAGTCCTATACCTTTATAGGTCTACAGTGGTTAACAAATCGGCTCACTAGTTGCTTTTTATTTGTTTAACCCTCCCGCCAATTTATCTATAAATTATGTTTATCCCGCCACCGGGTCAATGTATAAAAATTATTTTTAGCTTGATCTGGTTTTTTGTTTATTTATTCTAATTTATTTTTAATTAAATTTATAAAATATGCAATATTATGAAACATCAAAGAAAAATGTTTCAAATTCAGAAGCCTATTATTTTAAAAATTATTTTTTAACCCGTCCACCACCCACCCAATGTTTAAAATAACTGATAAAGTTCGCCCACACCCGCTTGTTGCAGACCTCCACCATCCATGTCGACTATTTAATAAAAAAAATTAATATTTCTAGGAGTGCCGATCCACAAATTTTCAACCGATCCGAAAATCTAACTAACTTTCACGAATGATTAAATGTATTTTGAGCCTTGAAATTTAGCCAATAGAAGCCCAAACCTTTCTATCATAAGTAGGTAAAATAAATAAACTTGATTAATTTACTTTTGACAAACCATTTTTAAAAAATGGCGAAATCGAGCAGTTTAACAACACTATCTGAATGCTAACTTGTTAAATATTTTAAAATCTTGCAGATAATATAACATCAAACAGTGCAAAATTTTAATTATTCTTTTTTAAGTATTAAGAGCAAATAAATTTTGTTTTAGTTCCTTTCATTAATTTATTAATATGAAATTATTTATAGAATAAAAAAAATATACATAATTAAATTCTATATATACAATCATAAAATGACCATTTAAAAAAATACCGGTCTTATTCGATATTTTTTTAAATATCGGTGCCAATCCGATATTTAATATCGGCACACCTCTAAATATTTTTCTAAAAAATGATTTAACAGACATAGTTTCACAACACATCTTGCACTTTATTTTTAAATTGTTAATAGATTATTGGAGCCAAAATTTTGTCTTAACCTTGGAATATCTATATGCATTCGTTAATACTTATTTTGATAATATTTATCATGAAACAATTTAAATATTTATACATTTTAAACTACATTTTATAACATCCAATCTAATAAAAAAAATATATAAATAGAGCAACATTTTTTAAAATTATTATGGAATAATTAGCAAGATGTTGACCATAAATTGTTTTGCTGCACCGATCTTGCTTCAGAGGTTATATTTGAGAAGGAAATAGTCTGAAAATTGTTTAATGTTCACATACTTTCCTTTATAGTACATTTTAATTGATGTATTTTCCTCAACTTAAATCTAGCCTAATTTTTACAAATATTAACTATAAAATAGGCCTAAAATGGGTTTTTGCTTGGTAGGACACCCAAGAATTAATATAAACTATATAATGATAAATTACTCATTCTAAAAAAAATGGAGAGAAAAGCAGAATGTATTTGCAAATTTTGTTACTTGATTATTTTATAAAAAAAAGGTTTGCTGGCATTCTAAGGGGAAACCCCAGCATAATTATCAGTAGATGAGCCCCTGTATAATTCACATGCACTCAATTTGGGTAGGTCCTAAACCAACATGCAAAATTAGATATAAAAAAACATTCATAAAATTTTTAACATATTTAAAAAATGAAGGTAATGCTACATGTGATGTCACAATTCAAGAATTCGAATGGACTCTTTTGATTTATGTCAGGTATTCTAGGGTTTAAGTATAAATACATTATAGCTTTTTATATCAATTCATCATATTCATCTAGTGGCAAGCAATAAAATTCTATAAATGATATTATATTTTCATCATGTTTAATCATATATTGCCAGGACAAGCATCCTTTTTTGTCCATTCTCAGTGATATTTTTGAGGAATAATTAATAGCTTTGAGTGCTGGTTTAAGTAATGAGTGCTTGAATCTTTTTAAAATATTTTATGACCAATAATAGTAAATTTTATATACCTACTATTTTGCCTTTCTTTACAAGAAAAATATTCAATGCAAGAAGAATCTTTTGGAAAATCAATCTAAATTATTTATAAAATTGATTTAGATTATAATGGATTATTTACATAAATTGATCCTAAATCTCCATATGTGGCTATTCTAAAATTTGGAATAGTTGGAGATATAAGTATCTCTAAAACATCACATGAATTATCAATCTCATTAAATATTTCTTTAAGGGCCTCAGATTTGAATATAATTTTATTAACTATATCAATGTTTAGAAAATCATACTCCATGACATCTTCATATTCTTGTGTTTTAATTGAGCAATCAGTCGTAACACCATTTTCTTCGAGTAACAATATTAATGGATGTCCATGTTCTTTATAGTATACTTTCAAGTGAACTTTGTTACTAAAAGATTGATTTAATGCTGTTGGAGAATATGTAACATTATTGCTGAATATTTGCAAACAATCCTAATTTATAATTTACATAAAATTGCAAATGAATATCTTACAATGAATATATTCAAATTTATTTTAAATTTTATATCTTCTTTATAGGAATAATCATTAAAAATTTCTTTCTGTAGGTAGGAATTAGCTTGCAAGCAATGGGAATCTTCAACAGTTATTTTTATTCCCTGGTCAGTGGCATGAAAGTTAGCTGACTACATTCAAAATGGGGTTATGCTAATATCAATGTAATTAACTTCTTTAAATTGAACAGCTTTTAGTATATTCGATATATATTTTACATTGTCTGTAGAAGCATAAAATATATAATTTTTACTGTCATCTGCTGTGTTCATTTATTAGCACTTTTTAAAACTAAAAATTGACAACCTTTCACAAATCGTTAAATTTTGATGGTGTCAAGATATATGATAAGTTAAAAAAAATAAAATTATTGTTTTTACGTATAATATAACGAATATAAAATAACAATTATAAATAAATGAAATTGAATACCTACAAATTTTTTAATCCTTTAATATCGAAAATACAAATATGAATATATAGAAATATTATATATATATATCTACTTCATAAAAGTAAAAACATTATAAGCATGAATATCCATAAATATTAAAATAAATATCCCACAATCCAAATAAAATTTCGCAATAAAAATATTTTTACTGAAAAATTAATTTTTTAAGCAAGCTATTGGGGAAGGTCTTGATGTAGCATTAGCTCAATTTATTATATAGCATACAAATATTTTCAGTCTTATACATTCATACATTTGAAAAGTATGTTGCATTTTTCCGATTTTTACTTTTTTAAAAAATGATAATTAAGTTTTTAAATAATTCTTCAAAATATTTTAAATCGAGTTTTTTGCGTAAATATTCAGTCTATGATCCACCTGAAAGTTGGTATGAATCACTTGGGATCTACAAAGATGATAAACCCGTTTTTAATCAACCTATAAATGTTCAAATAAAATCATATGATTTTGCTGTTTTAGAAAATTTTCAATCATCTTTACATAGGATATCAAAATCTCTAAACATTAAAATAAAAGATGCTCATGGAACTCCTGCAAATACTACAAAAATAACCACATTTAAAAAACGTAGTAAAATACCTGAAAATAGCTACATGCTAAATATGTATCAAAGAAATATTATTTTTGAAAATCTTTCTGCTTTGCAATTTCCCATTGTATATGAAATTTTTAATACTATTTTGCCAGAAGGTGTTAAAATATCATTTAAATATTACCAGGAATCTGATATTAATTATCTTTATATAACTGATAGTGAACTTAAAACCTTAAAAGATGGTCTTGAAATCATGAATAAAGAGGAACAAGATAAAATAAGTGAAAGTATTCAAAAAAAGAGGGTAAAAGAAGAGGCAAAAATACTAAAAGGGTTGTCAAATATTATGGGATAGTTTTTAACTTTAATATACATATATTTAAATTATCAACAAAATTTAATAAATATTAGCTCTTGGCATTGCTTATATTGTCTCAATCAATGAATTCTACTCTGGATGGAAAATTGGAAAGTTTTATTGAAATGGAAAGTCAGAAACAAAGATTTCAACAATTAATTCATGATGTTAATGATCAATGCTGGGATTTATGTTATAAAGATAGGCAGCCTGGGTCAAGTTTAGATAATAAAACTGAAAGATGTCTTGGTCATTGTGTTGAAAGATTTATTGATACCACAAATTTTGTTGTTAAACGTCTTCAAGATGTAGGAGAAGCAACATTGGCTAAAGAAAATATTGATTTTTGACATTCATTATAATTATAAATATTAAGATTGTAAATAAAAATAAAGTTTGGCTCATAATAAATAAATAAGCAAAATTAATATTTACTTTCACATTATTATTTTGCATTATAATCCAGAATTATTGTGTAGGGAGGGAAGATCAGACCTTATGTGGATTTTCTTACCATTAAATTTACTGGAAGGCATTGCATTTTAGTTTTATTTTATCTTTTTAAAAATTAGTAACATAAATTTTTTATAATTAATATAGATAATATTTGGTTTCCTTCAAATTATATTATAAAACTGCAATTTTTAAATAGAGAAAAAAATTTTCCCTCTCCATCACTAATGATGTCATTCTCTGTCAAATAAAAAACCTTTCAGTTGATCCCTTTCAATTTCTATAAAAAGTACATTATATATGTTCTAATAATATATAAAACATAATTTTAGCTCATTGGCAATTATATTACCTTAGATTAGTGATGTTAAATGGCTTGTTTTGAACTGATTTTTAAAAACGGAAAATTTAATATTTCATCCAAAAAGATATTACGCAAGCTTGAAGATTTTTTTCATAGAAAGAACAAAGGTCTAGACATATATTATCGAAATCTCCAAGCTAAACAATATTTTTCTGGCTAAAATATCTAGTTAACCGTTTTTAAAAATCGCCTCAAATCGAGCCGTTTAACAACATAACCTTAGATAATAAGGATTAAAAGTACAAAACTCTACTTTTTTTTTAGCCTATGTTAAATAAATAGTTTTAAATTAAAAACTAAATTAGTTTGAATAATGATTCTTAAGTCAATGGGGCCAAACATCAAAATTAAAAATATTGGCTATCTTAAGTCCAGTTGAAAATTAATATTTCAAAATTATTAAAAATTTCAATTTTTCTAATAATTTCTTCAATATTTATTGCACTGGGTAATTATTTTAAAAAATTACAGATATTGATATAAAAAAACTATATAAATATGCAATAAAAAGCTCTTTTTTTAAATAGTTAATCATTTTTAAAATTGATTTACAAATAGCTTATTTTATATATATTTCTTTAATATTTGTGAATGGAGATTATATTCTTTTTTTTAAAAAAATATATTAATTCTTAAAATATTTTTAGAAAAATTTTAGAAAATTAATTTTTTGATATGCATGATATTACTTTTAAATCAATTTTAATGCTTTAAAATGATTTTGAACGATTAAAAAGAACCATATATTGCATTAGAATGTTCATATATAGCGCTATCTATATTTTCTTATACATTATTACCTTTTTTTTAAAATAACTAACCAACCATGCTATTATAGAAGAAATTACTAGGAAAATGGTAAAGATATAAAATAAAATAAAAATTTGAAAAATAAAATTTTATAATCATTTTAAAATATTAATTCTAACTTTCCTACTTATATTAAATGGCTAATATTTAAAAAAATAATTAATTATCAATTATTGATTTAGTTATTAATATTAGAATTAGTATTCTAACTAATTTTGTTTTAATTTAAAACTTGATATCAGTAAAAGCGATTTTCGTACCTTTAATTCCCATTATCTCATGTAATATTAAATTTCCATTTTGAAAATTTTTTATCGAAATTGAAAGAGATCGGCCTAATAGCTCGATTCTCTGCTCTTTTGACATGACCCATTATTGATATTTATTTATATTACATAAATAAGAGGCCTAGAACAAGGACATTTTTAGGTGCCGTGCAAAGAGTGTTTCTTTTAAATTTCAGCTTTCTGAACATTCCTGGAAAAATAAAAAAATGATATATGCCTTCTATTTTATATCTTTATCATGAATCAGATAATACATCTATAAATATTCGTTTTGTAAGAATATTATTTATATTTGTTCCATGGTACCATAATTTTACTTTCTAAAAAGTATCCTTCATCGTTAAGTCCGTGACAGGTTTAACCATTTCAAAAAATAAGATTTCTATAACCTTAATCACATAATACTTGCTAAATACAGAGCTTAGCCCGATCCCCCCCCTCAATAGCGCCATGGCTTCATCCCTGACAACTAAAATACGACTATCCTTTTATGATCGAATTACGATTTTCTCAAAAAAAGCATCAATTGTGAGATATTATAAATATCGCTCACAATAATAGCAAAGTATTTTTCTCACAATAATAGCAAAGTATTTTTCTTTTTATAATTCTTTCAATGGAGAATGTTGCCATATATTTTATATTTTCTCAGTTAATTAATATTAAAAGAAAGTGAGGATGTTTTTCACTTGCATTTTACGAGATTTAAAACAAGTATTGACTTGGCGAAATATCTCCATGACATTGAAAATTGTATATGAAAATGAAACCCAATAAACCATTATCATTAGTAAAGGTAAAAGTGTATAAAAATCCTTAATTTATATTAAATTATAAATAAATACGAATTTTAAATATTGAGAAAATGTTATAATTACATATTTCCAATTTCCCATTCAAATGGTGAGAGAGAATTAATAAAATTTGATTGCGTTTGTCCTTATTAATCTCCTCTTTTTTTACTATTTTGATCATTGAAAATCCTACAGACTCCCTTAGAATATAATATGAATACCAAATCCTATTTTTTTAAGTGACGGTGTTCAGACAATTTCAATAGATCGTTTATTCTTTAACCGTTGCTTATACTATTTTTTATATAAAAACAGGAAGCAAACCAATATGATCCATCATTATAAATATTATGTATCAGATTATTACATTAAACTTCGTGTTTACTTTTTGAGTTCGGGGAAATTCTAAAATAATCGTAAATATTTAGTTCTTTAATCCTTCTTTTTTTACAAATATTTACATATTTTACAATAAAACATTTTGTTAGGGCTGGTCTACCCATTTCACCGATCTGATAATTTATTGATTTTACCACAAATGGTAATAAAATCTAATTTTCTATGCAAAATATAACTGACTGTAAAAACTTAAGCAAAACAGGAAGCACATTGATCTTTTTACATTCAGGGTGTTAGTCGATACATTATCACAAATGATTTCAATGAATTATTTTTATAATCAAGATGTTAGTCATACAATTATGGTTCAAATAATATATCAGAATATGACTCTTTAAACGTTTTTATATGAGAACTATTATCTCTTAAATCCTTTGCTTAGGTAATGACATTACCAAGAAATATGCAAAACTCCACTTGAATTTTTAGCCCTATAATATTTTACAGTAATTAAAAATATGAATCCTCATTCAAACCTTAATGACTTTTTTGATACTTGTCAATAACATAATAATTATAATATAGGATTAGTTTTTTAAAATATCGATCCGAATTTATTTTATTTTAAACAACCACTATCTTCAGGTTTAATTGGATATAGGCACAGCCATATTATGTTAAAATCAATTTATTTTTTTTGCTCTTTGTTTTCATATTTAAATAAATAGTTTATTACACCTTCTTGTATGTACAACTAAAATTATATTAGCTATTTTAATGATTTCGTGTTGTTAAAGTAAATAATAATAGATAGTTACTTCTTAGAAAAAAATGTAACAAAGAAGTTAAATTTATATGTTTTATAATATAAATTATAACTTTTTATAAATCTAATTTATAGATGCAAACCCGGAGCTTGTTTATAGGACATTTATTTCTGAATCCAAGGATGATCCATTAAATTAAAAAAAAAAGGTTCAATTTGGGTTCAAGATAATTATTTCAATGTTTTTTGCTTTTTATTATTAACGAGAAATATAATCTAATTAATCATATCATATATACATATATATTTTATTTATTTTCCTAATAATGAAAATGACATAGCCTCTTAAATTTTCAGCTATGATGTAATATATTTAGATTAAGGGTGCGTCCAATGTCTATTGAATTTTCAAAAATAAAAATGCTTCTCGCATTTATACTAAGCCTAAAACGAATTATTTGTTATTTGATATTCGAGTCAATTCATACGAATAACACAATTATTCGATTCGAAAATGAGGAAAATTATTCGTATTCGAAATTATTCGAAATTATTTATATATAAATATTCATAATTATTCGCAAATATTTTATTGCAAGTAAAATAAAAAGAAGTAATTAAATTTTCCTAGTGGATATCATTTCGTTTTATTTTATTTCCTATTATCAAATATCAAATCATAACAAGTTATATTTGCTGAAAAAGTTTAATGGAAGAAAAGGAAAAGCTTCAAAGTAAAATATAATTATTTTATTTTGATTGTTTCTCTTTAATCATTTTTAATGTTATGAACAAGTCAAAACATTTTTATAGAGTGTGCCCCTTTCCCATATTCTCGAGCTCCTGGCAGATAAATAACTAAATTTTTTTGACTAGTTCTTATTATTTGATTAAGAAAATCCTTTTCCCATTTAGTAACCTTATTTTTGGCAAATTTTAAAGACAATCTAATTCAGATAGTGCATTATAATATCTTCATCCTCTATTACATTGTCATAATCACCTCTAAAAATTATATTAATAATTAAATAAAGGAAATTTATGCTACTAAAGTATTTTTAATAAATAAAATCTATAATGAAATACTTTCTAAAATTTTGTTATATTTTATATGCAAAAATGACAATTAGTTTAGAGAATCCTTAAAAGTGTCATCTTTAAACATCTGTAAAATTTTTTTTGCAAAATATTTTATAAGCTTTAGAAAAATTTTCGAATCGAAACGAATAATGATTTTATTTTCGTACGAATACGAATAATAGTATTATTCGATTCGATTCGTTTTTTTGTAGGCCTAATTTATACATTATGGGTTCAAGGTCGATTTCGTAAATTTCAAAAATAATGAAATTTTTTAAAAACTTTGGACGCACCCTAAAATTTACATTCATATGATATATGGATAAATATTATTATTTACTATATTACTTTATGCTAACCCCTCTCAAAAACTTAGACCTACCCTCCTAAGCTATAAATTTTGTTTTATTTCTAAATTTTTATAGATAACTTAACAAAAAATTTAACACTCTACCTAATTTACCCCCTTAAATTCTCACCCCCACCCCCCTCCCCCCCCCCACCTCACTCAAAAAATTGGATGCAAATTGTTCCGTACCCCCATTGTTCAAGTAGGCTCTGTTTATAAAGTTGCTTTCAACAATTTAAAAATTTGTTAGGATGATGAGGACGTTAAATTTAAAAAAGAATTGCTAACCAACCCAAGAATTGAAATCTTCTGAAAACTGTAATAGATTATTATTATAGGTGATATGATATAATATTCATATGAAGTCATTTGGTGAAAACAATAGCTCTTCATTACTATCAGGTTATCCAGATCCAAAAAGAAACATCTCAAAATCATTAAAGTTAAAGAATGTTATAAAATGCTTATGACTTCAGCAAATTTCTGTGCCATATTTTATTATACATCATATCTGAATTGTTGCCTGACTATTTAAGAAAATTTCAGAAATCTTGTAAAAACAATGATTTATTATAATAAAAAAACTGACTCATATTATAAACTGTCTATTGTCAGATTCATAGGCGTAGCCAATGGGAGGGGGCAAGGAGAAATTTCTCCCCCTTCAGAAATTTATCACTTTTTGTTAATATCATTTTAAGCTAATAAAATATATCCCCCTTAGTCTTCCTTCCATTCACTGACCCCCCCCCCCCCAAAAAAAAAATGTATATATATATCTTAAAAAATAATTTGATATAAAGATAGAATGTAAAAGTTTATATTTTTTTATAAAACTATTCATCATAATTTATACATTTTTGGAAAAAGCTTTTATATATAAAAAAAAAGTGAACCAAAAATGTTTTTTAAGAAATGGAATATAAGCCAAAGATAAGTCTTATATATTATAATTATTAATAATAGATCCATAAAATTACTAAATAATATAATATATCAAATATAATTTTTATAAAGCGAGTAATTTTAATTTATTTATTTTAATAAAAGTAAAATATAATTATAAAATTATTGATAAATTAAATCATAAATTAAATAAAAAAATAAAAGCACAATACAAACAGTGGATTATTAAATGTCGTAGATTTACAGTATATCCAATTTAATCAATTATCATATGACAATCTAATAATTTCTACCAATATAGCGAATTATATATTTTACAGAAAACTATAAAATATTGATAAGGACATCAGAAAATATCTTTTAAAGACATTATGGGATGAATAATATGAAGATTATTTTTTAATATCATTTTTATCTATAATAAATAGATGGCGTTAATGAATGCAAATTGTTGCTATATTTATTATCAAGAGCATTGATTAGTAAATTTTGAAAAAATATCAATTGTAATATATTCTCTAACAGTCAAATATGTCTATAAAAGAGGAATTTTACCTAGTATTTTTTAATCAATTATATATATAGAGGAAAATCAACTATATGTCTATTTACATTTTATAAATAAAATTCTTATACTGTTTCGAATAAATGATTACCATGCTTTTATATTAATGTATATACAAGTAATTTATTATATTTTATATAAATTAATAAAAATATATTTCATATTTGTTCCAGGCTTATTTTTTTATTAAAAATAGCCTCCTCTCTTGAAAAATATTATATGACTATATATAAACTAAGGTAACTCGGCCCAAGGCCCGCCCAAAATAAAATTTAATCCCCCCCCCCTCCCTTAGGAAAATCATAGCTATGCCTATGGCCAGATTAAGAATTTTTAACTATTCATATTTAGATATTAGATATAATATTAACTATATAATAATTTTTTATTAATTGAAATCTTCTAAACTCGATTGAGCCTAATGAAATCCCATGGTTCATTTTATGCCAAAACCTTAACCGAAATAATTAATAATTTTTTCTTAGTTTGAAAGATGATAAAGATTATGCTTTAAATGAATGTAATAGCTAGCTGGAATAGGTAACCAATTATCAGTCATTGTAAAGTTGGGAGATGCGAGCAAAGAAGGAAAAATGGGAAAAAAATAATTAACTATAGAAAATTTTAGAAAATGACCCTTTTTTTAGAGTAATATTTGGTTCACACTCTTTTCCAACAGGGCGCTAAAACTTTGAATTACCTGTTTAAATATCTAAATAAAATATATCATAAAACAATCAATCTTTTTTTTATTAAAATCGAAATTACCAATTTTTTTTCTTCCTTATTTAGATACTCTTGATTAAATTACGTAATGGGGAAAGGATAAAGTTGGAAAAATTAGATTAATGAATACAGGGTATATTAGTATTACTTTATATATAATGAATAGAGAATTATGGCTCACAATAAATAGCTTTGGCAGAATGTGTTGGATTTCATAAAAAACGGAATAGATTCTATGATTTGTAATATGTTACTTTAAATGATATATTTAAGGTTGGGTGCATAGATATAGAATTATGCAGATATGATATATAGTTAGTGTTAGAATGATATGATATAGGGGTTAGTTTATATTAAAGACTATTTGTTTTATTAAAAATTAATAAATATTTAAATAATATATAGTAGTGGAGTAAAATACTTGATACCTGTCATAATTTAAAAGGATTTATTTATTTTCGAGATAACAATATGGATAGACTATTTGGAAAATCAAAACCAAAACCTCCTCCACCAAATTTAAATGATTGCATAACCACGGTAATATAAAAAGTTCCATTCTTTCAAATTTATAAACCTTTACAAAATGCGGGAAGATCTTGTTAAAAAAGCAATAATATTTTTAAATAATGATAAGGTTGTTCATGATTGTGAAATTAAGAAACGTAAATTTTTAGAACAACAATGTTTAACTCCTGAAGAAATTAATTTAGCCTTCAATATTACAAAAAAGAGTGGAAAAATAGTTAATAACAGAAATTTTAAAAGTGCTTTAATATGTAAGCTTCTACTATCCTTTGGCATTTTTAGAAAATTTCTCAGATATTCTATTATTATAGTTGGAGTATATGCATTTATTAAATTCTTCAGACAATTTATATACCCATTAATTCATAAATATTGGACAAAAAAAAAGAAAATATCTGTAAAATCATTTGAAGATATTAATTTATCATTGAAAGAATGTAATACAAATTTAATTAAAGTTACCTATTTGCTAGAAAACTATTGTAACATTGATAAAATAAAAAGTGAATTTATTTTTCTTGATATTAAAGAGGATATTAAAGATTTAAAACAAAATGCTCTAGATTATAATAAGAGTCTGATTGATAAAGATTTTTTTGATACTTGTAATATAATAAAAGATGATAAAGAATCCCACAATTCTGGCACCAATAGCTCTATAACAGAACTGAATGGAGGAAATGGAATTCATTGATTTTGAAAAATATTTTATTTCATATATATCACAATTTATAAAATTTGTATGCACTTTTTATATATTTGACTCTTAATAAATTAATATAATGTATTTTATTTATTTTTTTACATAATCAATAAAAGATTGATACACGTGGGGGAAATGTTGAGCAAAAAATTTCTAAATTGGATCAAGAATTAACAAAATATAAGGATCAATTGAAAAAAATGAGGGAAGGTTCTTCTAAGGTTTAATCATAAATTTTATGTTTAACAATTAGTTAAGTTTAATGATATCAACAATAATAAAAAATTCATTTTCTGATTAATTAAAACCAATTTGCCAAAACTGAATATAATAAAATTAATTTTATATTTAGCACCAGAAGTCATTAAAATATATGAAGTTGTAATAAACTTTAAAAAAATTGATAATGAGTGAGAAGACTTAGATCTTTTATATTATAGAATGCCATATAATTTATCATCATTTTAAATGGATGCTGAATCAAATAATGAATAACATAAAATTTTAAGATTATGTATAGATTTTTTTAGTCACTAAATAAACCTTTTTCAAAAATATAGTATCATCATAATGTTCTAAACAATAGATAGAAGATGGATACAATGTGACTAAAAATATGATTTTATTATAATGATAAATTAAATATTTTTAAAAATAATAACAGACTGGCTTTCATGCCTGATAATAAACGAATATAAAGTGAAATAAAATTGAAATAGAGCTCTATAACCTCTCACACTAATAAAGATAAACACATAAAATTTAGATTGTTTTTACGGAACATAATGGTAATTAGCAGGGAGGTGAACCCTTCGACAAAAATAAAGGGTCCGGGTTCGGGTCCGGTAATAAATTTAAAAAGGACCCAGGTCCAGGGTTCGGGTCTGGGTTCAGAGGAAACATAAAAATAATGACTCAATAAAACTTTTTTTCATTCATTTTTTTATTATACTTCAATATACATTTATAATTCGAAATGAGATAATTTATATTTTAAATATTTTATTCAATCGCACAATCATGATATCTTCTAAAATATCATCCTTCAGATTTCCACGTAAATTAGTCAACAATGAAAATCCACGTTCTACGCTTACCTATAATAGATAGTCATTTTTATAATACATAAATTATTGTACTTGTGTTGCCGGTACAGCCATGACGATTCTAGAAAAGGTATATAATTCTGGATATATTGAAGAATTTTCCTCCCAGAATTTAAAAATGTTTGCATCTCTATTTATTCTCATAACTTCCGAGAACTTTTCTATTAAAGATACAATAGATATTTTTTGCTCCTTTCTATTAGATGATAATTTAATTTTTTTTTCTCTATCTAATAGTAAAATTTCCAGATCATCAATATCGTTATCATTATCATTGTTATTGCTACAACCAGTAGATATTGTTGTAACCACCAATGTATTGTAAATAATAGAGTTTTGGGTATGCCATAAATCTTCAAAATGGTCTATAGCCATTTGTTTTTGCTCACTACTTAATAAAACCTGATATTGAAGGTCTAAATATATAGAAGCATATACAACACTATTTTGTAAATATTGTTACTCTCTTATTTTCGTATTTTCTAATACTTCATTTGGAAAAGAACTTGTTAATCTCCCTAACTCTAATCGACATCTTAACCATATGCCATAAAAATCCGATAAACATAATTGTTCTGCTTGCCCTCTTAATGTTGTTATTTTTAAAGGAACCAGCACACTAGTAAGCTCTTTAATTGATTCCAATCATCTTCTGACAAAATGATTTCACAAGCTCCTATGATAAAATCATTACAGAAATCTTTCAAACTTAATAATCGCTCTAGCATCATACATATAGAGGACCAACGTGTTGTGCAATCTAAAATTGTCATTTACCTTTTCATGGATTTTGATATTCTAACAATTGTGGGAGTTCTTAAATATTTTACAACATCCCTTGCTTTATCAATTATAGTTTTAAAGTGACTATTTTTTAGGGAGATTCCACGAAAAAAATTAATAAAATTATAAAAATTTTACATTATTTTTTTAAAAATTAATAAAATTATAAAAATGATATTATTTTTTTAAAAATTAATAAAATTATAAAAATTTTGTATTATTTTTTAAAAACTATATTTTTACATTAATTTAAAAAAAAAAAATTTTAAGTTAAAATTTTTTAGCACCCTGAACCCTTGGACCCTCCACTTTTTAAAAGGGTCCGGGTCCGGGTTCAGCCAAAATACGAGGGTTCAGGGTCCGGGTTCACATCCCTGGTAATTAGTCACATACTAAAATGATACTTAAAATTTATTAAAATAAAGAGAATCCACACCACATAAAGTTCAATGCCTAGTATAGGATAGTAGGGTTGGTATATATTAAATATAAGTCAATGCCTGGTTTTTGGCTAGGATTTTGCCTTAAAAGTATAAAGCTAAATTTACACAATTTCTTATATTTGCTTTAAGATATATATATTATTTATCTCATCTGCTTGATTTCTATAAAACAATTGGTTATATATCTTTTTAGCATGCCTCCATTTACTGACACCTTGTATTCTGTAACAATAACCTTAAATTTATGATTTATAATATGTGTTTTTTATATTTTTAAATTCAGTAAATTGAGGAGTATATTTTGATTGTTAAATTATGTTTAAAAAAATACACATCGATAGAACATAGTCAAACAAAAAGCCCTCAAGATACTTAAACAGAAACGAATGTAAATAAATTTTTTTAAAATAATTTTGAAATTTATTTTTTAAAAAAATGTTGAATATTTTAATAATATGTTTAGAAATTTAAATTTTTATTTACTCTTATAGATTTAGTTAATTTTTTGGCCCAGCTTGGCCCATGTATGTTTATTTTTGCCTGCCCCTTAAAATATTATTTAGCTTCATGTTGTCTGTCCCAATTCATAATAACTTTTTATAAAGGAAAATGACCTAAATTAGCCTAATCCATCAACTATACTAAAAAAAACATTTTAAAATCTGACCCATAAAAATATTTTTCTCTATTTGTCCAACTTGATTCAAAAGTCTTTTAACCTGGCCATGAGCCATTCTGTGCAACTTGTAAGTGCAATTCTTTTGAAATATATAATCTACCAGCATTTTATTGCAAATGTTTCCTTATTACAACCATCTGAAATATGACATGCCAAAATAGTTCTTTATAAAATGACATTTAAGCTTATTTTTATACTTTTGTTTTTTGTGATTTTTTCGTTTTTTAAATCCCTAAGTAAAGAAAAGAATTAGAGTATAAAAAAATAATTAATATCAAATTTATTAAGAAACCCCCTAATTTTATTTATGATCCCAAGGTACGAACAACAATTAGACAATTTAAGGAATCAATCCTTTAACATGGAACAAGCGAATTATGCCACCCAAGCGTTGAAAGACACCAAAACTACGGTAAATATAATTACTCATTTCCCTCAAGGAGTAACAAAAAAAGAAATAAATGTTATATTAAAATGTGATTTTGCAATAGAAGAGTATCATTTTATCGTTTTTAAAAAAAAGGAATATACAAGAAAATATATTTTGACATATATTTTGGATTTTTATTTGCAACACAAAAATGATGCTTATCTTAGCTCGACGCTATGAAAATGGGCGTGAAGGAAATGAGGAAAGAATACAAGCATGTCAATATAGACAAAATCGATGTAATATATATTTTTTTATTTATTGTATTATATTTATTCTCTTTCTTTCTCTTTGTTCCCTATGGCAAATAATAAGTAAATCTAAGTTTTTTTTGAATTGTAAATATTTTGTGGGGTGTTTTAGAATTCTTTTTTTTCTACTCTTTATTATTTTTAGATTTATTGAAATAAATTTTACTTTACATGGATTCATTGCCTTCTCTGGCATTTTCAAGTTGAAGGGGGCTTACTTTAAAGAAGAATAATCCCCCTCCTCCTTCCAAAATGTCTAAGATTATCAAAGAAGTAATTCTATGAGGAGGTGGAGAGTTACCACTTATGGGGTTTACATCCCTCCCCCCGTTTTATCTTTTGAAAAATTTCCCTACCTTAATTAATTGCCTATTATTGATAGCTTTGATAAAATTTATTTCGTGCCGTTTTGTTTATATTACACAACATCAACTAAAAATAACGTTTTAAAAAAGGAAGTCCAAGACGATTTGGAAGATTTATTAGACCAAGCTAACGAAGTTCAAGATGCTCTGGGTCGGCAATACGGAGTACCAGATATCGATGAATCAGAGTTAGATGCTGGTTTGTTACTTATTAATAAATATAAAAGACCTGCAGAGGTACCAATTGCATGACCCGACCCATATTTTAAAAAAAAAAAATTTTGGCCCGGCCATGCCCTGGTTTTATATTTTTAGGCCCTGCTATTACATTTATTTTTAATATTTATGTATGACTATTGATGGCGATTTAAAATATACGACCTGACCCACGTCTTTTTTTAAATATTATTTTAGACCCAGCCTTGTTATATTTAAAAAATTAAAATACGGCCCGGCCCGTGTACCCGGGCTTGAAGGTGTCTGATAAATATATAGCTAGAATATTTTAATCTCTTGAATAACCTTAATTCTGTTATTGCGTAACTGAACTGCGATTTGAATACACATTTGAAAATAGACAAATAAGTTTGTTTGATAGACTTATATTTTACAATGGGTATTAAAAACAATACATACTAATGATCTGCATCACTTTTAAATAATCTTATAACGGGTTAAGAAATTTGTAACGGTTAATTCCGGTTCGGTTCAATTTGACACAGAAGCAGGATTTTGGATAAAATTTTCCACAAAATTATAAATCTCTTTCTTTAAATTAAATTTTAAAAAATAACATAATATCCCAAACATAATTGAAATAATATGTAAATAAAACATGTTAAACAAAATATAAAAAAAAACTATATTTAAAAACATGGGGGGGGGGGGTGAGGGAGTTGTCTAGGAAGATGACGATTTGAGTTGTTTGTAACATTTTAATTTTTTTAACCTTAAAATCATTAAAAAAAATTATAGCCAGAAAACTACTGTGACAAAGTCGTAAATGAAGTTTTTTTATTCACATGAAATAAAAAATTATCAGATAAGGCAAATATTTTTTTTACTTCCTTGTCACAAGGGAACAAACCCAACGTTAAGGATTTTTACAGAATTTGAGGTCTAAATTATTTAGTTTTGTGTGTAGGTTGTCACTACAACCCTATCCAAAAATCGAGTGCCTTTTGTGAAACGGTACACGACTTGCCCCCATAAGGGAACAAGCCCTTGCCCTAGAAAGGTAGAAGGAACAAGTTACCTTTATATCACGCACTCTGTTTTAGTGTTTTTTTTATACCAAACACTGGTAATTTGTTTTATACTTATAAATTTCGATTTTGTTACAGGTACCATTTTGTAATAATTGTATTGAGAAAATTTCGTTAATTAACCCAACTTATCTTTTGTATTTAAATTTTTATAAAATGATTTCTATAAAATTTTTAAATTATGTCATCTTATTTAAAAATATTTTTTCAAGCAAATACAAATTTTGGTTTATTCGGGAAATAATTTTCATAAATAATAATCCGCTAGATGGCGTTATATTTTAGAATATTTTGTTTAAAAATTTTTTTTTTTGATAAAAATAGAAATACAAATAAGTTTGATTATAACAGATCAAAGGCAATTTGCGTTTCACTAAATAGAGCAGTAAATACAAATATTTGAATCCTATCCAGGCACATATGTCGGAATTTTCTTCAGAAGGGAACAATTTTTTATATAAAAATCTTGGAGTGATTGTTTGAACCAATGGTTTGAACATTATTTTATGTAAGTTTAAATTGAAAAAATTAAGTACCTGTCAGATCCAATATTTCTTTATATTTTTAAGCTAATCGCGGCCTGGGCACCCTAAATTAAAAAAATCCACTAAGAGAAAATTTAACTTCTAACCTAGAATACAACTCTGATCAGATCTATGATCACCCCTACTTACATTCTATGCATGTCAATATAATATGTGGTTAACATTTTTTGTTATATCTTGTAATGGTGGGTTTCCCATTGTTTGACCATGGCCTACTTTCATCTTAAGATTTTGATCACATTATTAATACCTATTTTTATGCAGATAATTATTCTATTTATACATTTATTTATTATATCATAATTCCAAATAAATAAAATTTTAGCAATATTTTAGATATAATCTTGATTGGTCTATTAAATGGGCCAATCAGAAAAGTAAACGAATTTACGATCCAATGATTTTACGATCATAGTTAGGCTTAAACCAATATAAAAAAATATCACGCTCATATTATCGCAGAATTTATTTAGCACCTTTATTTTAAGATTACATTTAAATATTTAGCCCTGCATATACAAAAATTAAAGTAAAATTATTATATTTTTATTATAATTTTGTTATACATCGCCTCGAATTCGCGCCAACTATGAACGTTTTAATGGATTTCCGTTTGTTTTCTCCCCCCACTTTTTTCTTCTTTCCCTATTTTTATGGGGTCAATAGGAAATAAAATGTTTCTTATTTATAATTGCAGAACTCGAAGCCCTGGGAGATGAAATGCTGGGCGATACCGACACCTCATACCTCGACGATGCTAGCAAAGCCCCATCCGCACCCACAAAAGAACCCGGAAAGGAATCTATTGCCCTTCCCTCTGGCGGGAAAGGAGGAGGGGGTTCTAGTACTTCTAAGAATAAAGTATATGTTAGTTAGATGCAAAATAATATTAGAACTGTTCCGATCTACATATTTTTCACCGATCCCATCCAGTATTGATTCAAACTCGATCCGTTACAGATCCTATATTTATATTGATTTTTCACCACCCCCCCCCCCCCTCTCAACCAAATAAAAATAAGAAATCAATATTTTTTATGCAAAAAAATCGAATTGCATTTAATTAATTTTTTTATTTCTACAACAATTAAAAAATACGGATATTGATAGTATTGAATTTTTCATTATTCCTCCTCGTGAAATTAGAATTCCGCAGATAACGCATTTTGCAAAATTATCTTTGTCTTTTGTAAAATATTTCCATAATTCAGATACCATATTAAAAAAAATCTCTTATTTTAGTGTTATTATTTTAAAAGATTTAAAATAAATAAAACTTTGGGTGTTCCTTTCTATTTTTATAAAAAAAACTTTCAAAATACTATAAATCTATTTAAAATAATAAATAAAATTTAAGTGGTGTTTTGCATTTGCATTGTTTAAAAAAAATTTATTTATTAATGTAATATAAATGTATATAAAATAACAAAAAAAAAAGAAAAGTGAAAAAATTTGATCGGATCGGGTTTTTACAGGTATCGGCCCGATCATATATTTTTGGAAAACGCTAAATATCGGTGCCGATCAGATCCGATATTTAATATTGGCACAGCCCTACATAATATGTTCGTTCACATTGTGAATTGCCAATTTTTTAATAAAAAAAATTATTATAGGCACACTTTAATGACTAGAATTTTAGAGAGAATATTTATAAATTTATTATAAATTTGCTAAGTGGAAACAGAACCATTTTTGGCGCATTTATCATGAAATATAGAAAACTAAAAACTATCAAACAGCTGTTTTTTTCTTTTAATATTCGTTATTATGTTTTATATTTATTCAAGGAAGGTGTCACGCTTGACGAATTTGGGTTGCCTCAAATCAACTGATCTTCACTTTGTGATCTTAAATTAACATGCCATAACTATTTAAATTTATTATAATCTATAAAATCTCAAAAATATGTGTCTTATAACATATTGATTTATTTTGGCGTTGTATGTAGTTATAAATATATTGTTTAATAAATTTTAATATTTATTTAACTTATATTTGATATGATGTTATTTTAATATTCCCTTATAAAATGAAAATGAAATTATTTGAAATGATGATTGTTGTGTTTGAAAGAAATAAGATTTTCAAATATATATTTAATCTCAATAAATTTTTTTTTTTAAAATAAATATAGGATTTCTTTTTACAAATTCATAAAATACGAAAATAAAATAAAAAGCCGAATGAATATGTCAAATAAATTTATGTGGTAACCTACTGAATTAGATATATTAGTTTTTTATGCTTAATATAGTAATTTCCTAAATGATAAAACTTTTTGTAGAGTAATGCTGAGTTTTTTTTTATTAGATGCTTAAAAAATTAATAGAATGGCCATAATTAATTTTTATAATAGCGAATTTTGGTTAAATTTTTTTTATAAATAATGGATTGGCAAGTAAAATATTTTAGACTAATGGGCGGGCGGACGAGCGGGTAAGGATTAGACTAATGGGCAGGCGGGTATATATTTTTTTGAAAACCTAGCAGCCGGGTTAAAAAATTTTTAAAAAACATTGCAAACCTCTAGTATATACATATATCCACAAGTAAATATTAAAAATTACAAATGAATTTACTTAACCACTTATCCATTTAATCTATTAATCTCGTATATGTTTATTTCTTTTCTTCTATTATTAATTTATTATTTCACTTGACACATATTAACACATTAAACTAAACCGATAAACTTTAAAAAAAAAATTATTACCATTGACACATGTTAAAATGAAAGAATGGAAATAATATCTAATACGTCTATTAAGTTAGAAATGTTTGGGTTAATTAAGATACCATTATATATATATATTTATAATATCAGAAATATTTGGTCTAATTAAGACACCATTGTCAGTTAAGTTAAAATATTTGAATTAAAATACCATTTTTAAAAAATATCTAATAATATCAGGAAATATATGGGTTAATTAATATGCCAAATTAATATATATATATTTCTTCTTCTTTATTCTCCGTTTTTATGGCGATTTCCAGGTTTACCCGGAGTGAGGCCAGTTTTCCCTCTGATTTTTTTTCTTTTTCCCTTTTTGACGGTCCTGAGCATCAATACTTGTAAGATTCATGCTTCTCATATCCGCCGCTATCACATTTGTCCACGTCATCTTGGGTCTTCCTCTAGGTCTTGATCCTCCTACTTCCATCATTGTGCATCTCTTTACCCAGTCGTCTCTTGTCATACGTTCCACATGCCCAAACCATCTTAGTCAATTTCGTCGCATTACCATACCAATCATTTCTATACCTAATCTTGCTCGCAATTCCTTGCTAAAGTTTTTCTCTCTCTCAGAGATACCCCACACATCCATCTAACCATCCTCATCTCTGTTCTTTCTAATTTGGCTTCGTGAGTTGCTTTCATTGCCCATGTTCCACCGCCATAAACTAAACAACTCCTCACACAGCTTACGTGAACTTTCCCCTTTAACTTCAAGAGAAACTTTTTTATTTGTAAGAATAGACGACATCTCTCTGAACTTCTTCCAAGCTTGTCTGATCCTTGCAACAACTTGGCAGAATCTACACCACCATCTGCGTTTAGCATATCACCTAAATAACAAAACTTATCCACTTTTTCTAGGGTTAACCCAGTGCCAATATCCAGACCACCATTTTTTAGGTTATCATTATTATTTATCCCTTTCATGCATGTTCTACAAATAAAGGTCATTCTTTCTAACATCAAACTGCCTATTTTCCCGCTACATCTTTTATGTACCCATTTCTGGCATCTGGTGCATTGGATAGAATTTCTAGCAACTCCTTTCCCCCATACACCACAAGGCCACTTACCGGATTCTTCCATCTTTAGATTTTCCCCACCAATCATCACCTTTGTTTTTGATGCATTCATTTTCGGGCCCTTTGCTTCCATAGTCATCTTCCATTTACTAACTTTATCCCTCAATTCTCCCTCACTGTTTGCCATTAATACAAGGTCATCTGCATATAATATCTCCCCGGGAAGTCCTTCACGCATTTCTCTAGCCACCACATCCATTACTAAGATAAATAATAATGGACTCAGCACGGATCCTTGATGAAGTCCTACCTTCACCACAAAGCTGTCACTATCACCATAATCCGTCCGTACTGCTGTTTGTGCTCCAGCATACATTGCCATCACTGCGGTAACCAACCATTCCTCCACGCCGGATTTTCTCAAGGCCCATCTTGTAATCTCACGCGGCACCCTATCAAATGCTTTCTCCAAATCAACAAACGCATAATAGAGTTTTTTTCTTTTCCTTAGCAGGAATGCTTCTCCTGAATTTGACTCACCACGAAAATTGCATCTGTCGTGCCTTTTCCCGATGTAAAACCAAACTGCATTTCATCAATTTTAATTTGTTCCCTTAACCGCTTCTCTAACACTCCTCTCAAATACTTTCATTGCATGTTCCAAGAGTTTAATAGCTCTGTAAGACCCGCAATCTAAAAGATCACCTTTCCCCTTGTATACTGGGATAATTATACTTCTTCGCCAGTCCTCGGGAATAGTACCTTCTGTGACAATTTGATTTGCTAAATTCAATAATAATAATTTCGCATTCCTTACATTGTTCGTTCTTTTTTTTAAAGATTTACCCGTAGTTCTATCCACAGATTTCATAAGGTTCAATTTTATACCCACATTTTCTATTAATATAATACCCTTTTCCCATTTTTTATTCTTATTGTCGAACACACGAGAGCCCATATAATTTGTCCCACGAGAAACTTTATATTTACTCTCTTACATGGTAATATAATAGCATTACCTTTTTTAAAAATTATAAGGGCATTGTTCTTTCACCCAGAAACAATTCAACAGGAGTAAGACCCTCCTTATTTTTAGAATTATTATAATATAACTGTGCCATCTAAATCTTAGTTTTCTTCTTGTTTAGTCTTTTTAATCCAATTTTTTACTATGGCTACCATTCTTTCAGTCTGGCCATTTGAGCTAGGATGATATGGTGGAGCCGACACATGTTTTATTTGTAATGAAAATGTCTAAAATTATCTCTTATAAACGCTGGACCTCCATCAGTCACAATTTTTTAGGAATCCCAAATTTAGACCACAATTTTTATAATAATTTGATAACAACCTTGGTCGTTAAACCATGAACTTCTTTATATTCAAACCCCTTAGAATATGAAATACAATTAAAAAATATATTTTTTTTATCCAGATCAAAAAAATTAATTTGAACTCTTTCCCACGTTAATTTGACTTTGGCCACACGTCTCCCATTCCTTTACGGGCCATGGAGGCACAATTATTACATGGAACACATTTATTTGCAATTTCCAAATTCATACCAGGCCAACAAACATATTCATGCACTAATAATTTTATTTTATCTCTGCCTTAATGACCGGCATATAAAAAACTTAAAATTTAATCGCGCAATTAACATGGTATTACAGCACGATTTCCACTCATTATACAATCGTCCACAATTGACAATTCTTTTTTTATTTTTTAAATTTAATTCATGTCTGTTTTTCTAATGTTTTTCACCAGTTAAACACAATTTTAATTAACTTAAATCCTTGTCTCTCAAAGTAGTTAATTTAAGATCCTCCCAAGTTGTAGAACCTCCCTTTAATATATATGATAGAGCACTAATACATTCTCTCAGTCTATAATTTATTGTCAATTACTTAAGGATTGTTACAGCCCGATCCTAATCTAGACAAAATATCTGGGCAAATGATTTTCTTTCCCTCGCCGATATTTAATTTCCATATTAAAACTTCCCACAAGTAACAACCAACGTTGTAATCTCGAGGACATCATTTATTCTTTGTTAGCTTTTTTAAACAAATAAATCAATGATTTATCATCAGTATAAATCCCATTTTTTTTACCAATAAAATATTCACGATACTTGGTTAATCCAAAAATAACTGCAAAGGCTTCCTGTTCAATAACAGAATAGTGAGTTTCAACTTAATGATAAATTCTTGAAAAAAAAATAAATGTCTCTCTAAACCATCAATTAAATGCAATAACGCGCTTCTGACATCTTTATTAGATGCCTCTACGGCTAAGATTATTTCCAAATCACTGTTAAAACACCTTAAAATCGGTTCTTCACCAATTTTTTCTACAAAATCTTAAAAGTTTTACTCAAAATGAATCCATTTCTATAATAAATCATATAAGGAGATGCCACTTTTGCAAAATTGTCCACAAAGCGATGATAATAATTTACCATGCCCAAAAATACTGTACTTCAGATTTACTATTTGGGTGATTCACATTAGAGATATTTTTTTAATTTTATAAAGGGTTTCCATTAATTTGATGACCCAGCACTATTTCATTTTACCAAAACACTTTTTCCTTTGCTAGCTCTAAGCCCATATCACAAATTCTCTTGAAACTTCTTCAAGATGTTGATTATGTTGCTCTGATGTCATCCCAGTTATCAACACATCATCCATATAATAAAATAAACCTTCTAGCCCCTGGAAAACAGATGCCATGGTACGTTGGAAAATAGGTGCTGACACACTTAATCCAAACAGTAACCTACAAAATGCAAATAATTCTTTAGGAGTCGTTATCGTTAACAATTTGCGAATTTCCTCCTTTAAAAGTAACTGTAAATAGGCTGAAGAAAAATCAACTGGAAAAATATTTTGCACTCTTTAAATTAGCCAAAATATCTTCAATTCTGGGCATGGATATTTAACTTTTACAACACACAGGTTTAAGTTACACGAAAATCAACACATAGTCTCAACTTGCCATTAGTTTTTTTCACTGGAACCAATGGTGTGGCCCACTCACTATATTCCATGGGAATAATATTACTATCTTTGACCCAACGGTTTAATTCGTCTTCAATTTACTTCTTCCACTCGAAGGGAACTCGCCGATATGCTAAAAAAAATGGGTGAAAATCCCTCTTTTAATTTCACATCTACTTGATAATCATTAAGACATCCCAAAGTGTCTTCATATATTATATCATACTTCTCTATTAAAATAGATATATCTTTACACATTTTATTTAATTTATTAACTTTTAAATCAACATTTTGATTTTCATTAATTTCAATTTTATTTTCAAAACTATCCGATTTAACATTTAATTTATCGGAAATTTTACACATATCAGAATTAATAAAGGGATTCACTTCCTCTCTTATTAAATCCATCATTTCAATTTCAATCATTTTATTTCGAACGTTATCCGCAATAATTTATCGTTCAGAATTATTATCAAATCACTTTTTATTGTAAAAAAAATTACAATAATTAGGAGGACCAATTTTGGTAATCCAATCCTTACCCATAATAGTTTCAACATTTTTTTCTACCTCTTTTTTTCATACTTATAAATTTTAATTCTATGATAGAGACCATTTTGTAATAATTATATCGAGAAAACTCCGATTAACCCTAACTTATCATTTGTATTTATAGATTTTTACAAAATAATTTTTAATAAAGTTTTTAAATTAAATATTATTTAAAAATATTTTTAAACTAAAATACAGATTTTGGTTTATTCGGGTTATAATCTTACCATAAATAAAAATACGCCGGATGGCGTTATATTAAAAATATTTTGTTTAAAAATAAATATAAATAAGTTTGATTTTTTATATTTATCAATCACATTTACTAAATAACAGAGTTGTTAAAGTATTTAGATACAAGTATCTAGAAATAAAAATGTGGTATCTATATCTAGATAGATTTTGATTAAAGTATCGGCATCTTTATCTAGATATTATTTTAGATGTATATGTATCTGTTTTAGATACTTTTAAGATACATTTTGATATACTTCTATTTAACGCTTTTTTTATATTATAAATAAAATACTTGAATGTAAAATTTATTTTATTTCTATGAGCATATAACAATATTAATATATATATAGTAAAATTATATATATATGTAAAATATTAGAACTTATATATAAAAGAATATATAAATATTAATTAAATATTATGTCCGAGTTATCAATAACAAGCTAAATCTGACATTACAATCCATCTCAAGAAATTTGTCATTTTTAAAGCAATACACAAA